GCTGTAGAACTTCGGACAAATTGGGGCTTGTAGCGAAGCTTTTTTGGTCGTTAATTGAATTATGTCGATTTTTTTTCCTTACGTGAAAGGCATATAACGAAAATGTATTGTATCATTATTAAAGTATAGGACATTTATGGATAAAAATATTTTTTGATGGTCGATATTCATGAGAAAGAAAAAGAGTCTTTCAGAGTTTTGGCCTAAACATGCATCGGAAGAATGATTATTACTAAAAAAAATAAGTTATCTATTTGCTCTGAGCTTATTTTAATAGAGAAAACAAACTATTTTTACCAAATAATTGTTATTTCACATATAATTTCAACGAGGAATACCTTGTAATTTCACGTTTTTTTGTAATACTCCTCTTAACCAAATATTTATACAGGGTTACTAGGAACTCGACAACTTCCTGGCAGAACGTGAGAGAAAAATACTTATGTACCTACAAACTATTTAATATTTATCGTCTAATAATTTTAATGTATTTAATACATATTCATAACGATGTACAGAGGATAGCCAAGTACATGACTTTATGTCATTTACTGGGCGCCGTACCTAATTTAATGTTACGTCATATAGCCTATAACCAGCGGACGACCATGTAGTGTCTCATGGTATCGATTACAACGGTAAGTAGTTGGGAAGTTACGAGGTAACAGATGAACATGCTTACATACAGGTCGAATTCATAACCCTCCTCTTTGCTTCGCTGCAGTCGGGTATTAAAAAAATGTCAGAGTGGAGATTGTTTGCTGACAAACGCTATTTAAAAAAATCTAATAAACTACGAATAATGAAAGGCGTTAAAAATAAATAATTTATTGACTAATTATTGAAAGGAATAGAAAGTTGAGGGCTGAGTTTGTACTTTGTCAGAAGGGGTCGGGCGCGGGGGCGGAGTTGCGGGAACGGGGCGCGGGCGGAGCGCGGCGGCGAAGCGCTCGCCACAGCGCAGCACAGCGCAGCGCAGCACACAGCAGCGCAGCGCAGCGCTGCGTCGTGCTGCTGCACAACCGCCCGCTCGTAGCGCTGCGCAAACACCACCTTATACGTGGTTCGTTGAACTGCTTCGTTGGTCTAGTGGTCGTTAAGGCGGTTACTGACCATGAGGATCTGGATTCGAATCCCGGGTCAGCCCAAAATCAGTTATACATAAGTTAACATAAAAGTGAGGGAATAGAGAGTGCTTGCGCATACACTCGGGCACTATAATCCTGTCCAGCGCAGGTGGCACTAGCCATAACTACTAAGTTCAGACTGGCCGCCATGATCAAGACGGGTCCTCGGAAACATTATTATTTTTATACATGTTTCCATATGGTAGAGCCATACTGCAGCTACCGCGACTCTCGACCCCTCTCTCACAGAATACCAGCAAAATAGCAGCTAACGGTGCTGTGCTTAACAATAAAAATGTCTTCCAGACTGAATTTCAGTCACTGCAGTCTGTCTTTTTATTATATGAGTGGGCAAACGAGTAATGTGGCTCACCTGATGGCAAGTGTCGACCGCCCACGGACAACTGTAACACCAAAGGAATTGCAGATGCGTTGCCGGCCTTTTAAAAAGGTCCTTAAGCCGTATCGGTCGGGAAAGATCGCTGGTGGCAGTCGACTCCACAAGGAAATTGTGTGAGAATGAAAACTTCAAGTAAATCGCAAAATTTTCAAACGTGGTAGAGCCACGCTGCAGCTATATTACGGTTGCAGCACGAATGGGTCGGCTCGACCGGACAAGGGCCACGCTCTCACAGAATATCAGCGTAAAATAGCAGCTATAGTCGGAGACTCTTTTTTACTGAAAATAAGGCAATTCAACATAGTCCTCAGGGATGACAACGCATTTGCGTTTTGATTCTTAATCGAGGATAAGTATATGTGTATGGGCCACAGCATCCACTTACCACCAGGTGGACTGTCTGCTCGTTTGTCACCCTTATTCTATAAGAACAACAATGGTAGACCGCCACCCAGGTGGTACGGTTTCAAGTTATATGGCGATGTGCGATGTTGAAATTGCACTTCTAGGGGTAGGTGCGCTAGAATACGCAGAGATGCAGCATCTCTTAGTTTTAACGGAGACTAGCCATATACGCAGTACAGAATTACAGTGCCTGAGTGTATACGTAGAAACAAGAGCACTTTCTATTCCATCACTCTCACTGTACAACCAAACCCGTACATTTTAATATGTTAGCATAATTGGAGCGCAATATTTTGTTTTATAATAAATTCTGTACAATTAGCAAGGAGTTACTGCATAGGCAAAGTAATCATAAGAAATAAAACACTTCGCATCCTGCAGTTTCAGTATTTAAGTGCTACATACATATTATGCGCATATTTACGCACACACTGATATTCCGACCGGACCGGACCGTACAGTGAGACAGTGTAACCACGAACCAACACCCATGATCAGTAACAATGTATATTATACAGTAACAATAAAACTTTTAAGTTTTAAAATCACTTATATTATTAATTTAGTCAATCTTGAACTTAATTTCATAGGGTATAAAGACTTAGGCTTCGACTTTAACCGAAGGTTGTAGCGATAGCCGATTAATCGGCTTCTTTCCTTCCTTATTTCGTTTTTTATGACCGAAGGTCATACAATTATTATTTCGTAAAATCTATAAAAACTAGTGATTTATAGACAGTTTTGACATGAAAAGTTTTAGTACTAGTCATAGATCGAATAGATCGAATAAGATACGGTGTAAGTACTATTATTATTTAAAATCCGTGCGAAATGAGTACCCAAAATTAGTAAATGTATTGTTTTGTCTCCCTAGATAATGTTAATATGGCGACAACTTTTAAATATAGTAACGAAGCTACAAGGTTCAAGTGCACGCGCAAACATACAGACACTCGCTTGTCCTAAAGCCGTGCTCAATGTAACACCTACGATCACAAGTCATGATGTAGACGGAACCAAAAATGAACAAGTAGCTTTGATATCTCTTTTATACGTGGCTCTAGAGCTCTTTTATACGTAGTACAGCCATGTTGCAGTTATATTAGAAGTATAGTTGTAGCACGAATGGGTCGACTCGACCGGAGAAAGATCACGCTCTCACAGAATACTAGCGTAAAATAATAACTTAATGCTGCTGTGTTTCATGTGGTGAGTGTAGAGAACCGGAGACCCTTTTTAATGGAAACGAGGCATTCAATCTTAGTCCTCACGAGTGACAACGCGTCTGCATTTTGATTCGTAATCTAGGATAGATGTAGATGTGTATGGGCCACAGCAACCACTTACCGTCAGGTGGACTGTGTGCTCGTTTGTCACCCTGTCCTATAAAAAAAAACATCTACGCACTATCTGTGGCTGGCGATAGTTCGGATGAACGGCTCCAGGCGCAGTCGACTTGTTGTGGGAATTTTTTATAGAATGTGGGTGACAGAGGAACACACAGAACACCTGAAGTGAAATGTAAGTGTGAATGCTGTAGCCCACAGATATCTATATATCCTGGATTAAGAATCAAAATGCAGAATGTGTTGTCACCCTTTAGGACTATGACGAAATGCTTCGTTATCAGTGAAAAGGGTCTCAAGTCATTTACAATCATTATGCGACGACTGACCGCCTCGTCAGTCTAGTGGTAGTAACCCTCGTTGGCACAGCCCAGTGCCAGGAGTTGATGAGACAGCAGCGTAAATAATATCTCAAAAGAAAGGGCAATAACTAAGCATGCTTTAAAACGTTTGAACAACAAGAATTATTTTAGTTATTTTTTTATGATGGCATATATAATATTTCCTTTTTTTGGCGTAATATATAAGTATATGCTTAAAATGTTTTTCTGATGATGAACATGCTTGGAATTTATTTTCTTTGAGTAATCATATATTACATAAAAACAATGAATTTAAAAGAGGTTTTATTATTAAAACCTCAGAAATTCAATTTAAAAAAGGAGCAATCTTCGCCTAAGACAAGTTTAGCTCAACATATTCTAAATGGATTAAGGTATCATCACTCCAGGGTTTGCACCCATCTTCCAAACAACCTGTATATCTACCATTTCTTATATCACACACAATTTAATTACTAAAGTTATGTAAACAATATGTGTTAACTAATTAAAGTTATAAAAACCTAATTAGCTTATATTAATATAATTATGTGTCTTGCCTAGTCCTAGGCCTAGTCGAAGAGCACCTCTCACCCTCCATCAACTGCGGACACAGGCAACAGACACAGCACCGTCGACAATACAACACGTGTTTTGACTCGACACGAAACCACGGTATCCTCAGGTGAAGTACACAGCGGCGGCTGCCGGCTACGACTACTGAGCGGCCAGCCGCCGAGCCTCGAGGGCGGCGCGCGAGCCCGCGACGCCTCTCACGAAGGATTCTTGCTCTTCGAATCAGGCAAGACACATCATTTTATTTCAATACGCAGCAATAAGCTAATTAAGTTCTTATAACTTTATTATAAAGGATTTCCCCAAAGTGATGTCTGATTCGATACATATAATATGTTAAAATAATAAGGTTTCCAAATAATACTATGCACTCACCGAGCCTCTTCTATCTGGCTGTTGAGCGTCAGGTAGTCGGGGCTGTCCTGGCGGCTGTGACGCACGCCGTTCGTGTACATCGACTGCGGGCGAATATTCATTGTGCGTATTGTTTATAATTATTTATTTAGTTACAAAATTAAATATAAATTAATACAACATAATTTAGGAAATAAAATAACGGCTACTTAACGAAAAACTGCATAGCGATAATTATAACGCTAACGAAACATGAGTGCAAAAACTAAATTTAATCACGGGCTCAATCATAAAAACATATAAAGATTAAAAAATAATTATTTAACATTTAAAAAAGGGCACTAAGAATTATTTCATAAAATAGGAAAGCAAAATGAATAAAGTAAAATTAAGTATTTCTTAATTTATACCGACTTCAAAAAAAGGAGGTAGGTATTTAATTCGAGTGTACGTTCTTTTTGTGTGTGTCATCTCATAACTTATCTCTGTATGGAGTATGGATGATTGTGATGATTCTTTTTATCTGAGAGCTGGTGCTTTTCGTTTGGTCCCATATAAATTTAATTAAAATCTGCCCAGTAGTTGTCGAGTCATCTTCAGTAGTTGTCGAGTCATCTTCAGTAGTTGTCGAGTCATCTTCAGTAGTTGTCGAGTCATCTTCAGTAGTTGTCGAGTCATCTTCAGTAGTTGTCGAGTCATCTTCAGTAGTTGTCGAGTCATCTTCAGTAGTTGTCGAGTCATCTTCAGTAGTTGTCGAGTCATCTTCAGTAGTTGTCGAGTCATCTTCAGTAGTTGTCGAGTCATCTTTAGTAGTTGTCGAGTCATCTTCAGTAGTTGTCGGGTCATCTTCAGTAGTTGTCGAGTCATCTTCAGTAGTTGTCGAGTCATCTTCAGTAGTTGTCGAGTCATCTTCAGTAGTTGTCGAGTCATCTTCAGTAGTTGTCGAGTCATCTTCAGTAGTTGTCGAGTCATCTTCAGTAGTTGTCGAGTCTACTTCAGTAGTTGTCGAGTCATCTTCAGTAGTTGTCGAGTCATCTTCAGTAGTTGTCGAGTCATCTCCAGTAGTTGTCGAGTCATCTCCAGTAGTTGTCGAGTCATCTTCAGTAGTTTTCGAGTCATCTTCAGTAGTTGTCGAGTCATCTTCAGTAGTTGTCGAGTCATCTTCAGTAGTTGTCGAGTCATCTTCAGTAGTTGTCGAGTCATCTTCAGTAGTTGTCGAGTCATCTTCAGTAGTTGTCGAGTCATCTTCAGTAGTTGTCGAGTCATCTTCAGTAGTTGTCGAGTCATCTTCAGTAATGCATATTTAATTGATTTCGAATACATTGATGACGTTCTCATTTTAATTATATTAAAGTGGGTTGTATAAAATGTTTAAATTTACCACTTATTACTAAATGCATATGAATTAATTAATTAATAAATTTGTAAAATTGCGATTTGTCTGTCTATTCGTTCCGGCCATCGATATAAATGACAAAATATGGCCGTGCGAACAAAAATTGTTCACAGTTTAAACATACAATAAATCAGCACCATTTCTTAAATACTCATGAACTACCACGGAACCATTGTTTTCACCTATGATTTTGGTTTTACCCTAAGACCTGTAGAAATACTCCCTAAATTATCGTAAAAAATCAAAATAGACTTATTAATTGCTCCTACTTTTCAAATATTTTAAAGAACAACATCATTACAAGATTTGTATATTATTTCACAATTAAAAATCTTGAGTTTTGTGATGAAGACGTTCTCATTTTAAAATTATAATATTACTAGTGTCATATAATTAACGAATATGTAACTAAGTAAAATATTATACCATTATTCCGATGTACAGAATGAAAAACATTTTCATACTACATTTTTCTTGCTCTTTTGACCCCATTCCCTTCGAATAACCGTAAAAAAATACATTGGGTGGGTATAAAAAACAGGGTTATCTGAAATTCGGTTTAACCCCAAATTATCCAAAACCCTGCCAACTTGAAGAAACGCCTAAATCCCTACTTATATTAGTAGATTTACCCTAAAATAGTGCAAAACATCTAAAAGTGGAAACACTGCACGGACGCACAGCACGCATTGGTGCGCGCATTGGTTGCTCCATAAACATTTTCGCATCAAGGAGTCTGTGCCATTTTGTTGTACTCAATGGCCCGGTCCACATGCAGTTGTATATACATATAATAAGTCCATAGTTCCGGCTAACTTTTTAAACATACCCGTAGGGTGCTTGGGTTTGGATTTCATTTTATTAATTATAGGAATACCCAAGCAGATGGTATAGCACCCAATCATCTTCTCTACATACATAAACACTCACGCCTGTCACCCAGAGGTGTAAGCAGAGACTATCGACTCCTTTACATCCATATATCTACGCATACATACTCGTCGGTTAAGGGTACTTCTAATGTGGTCCCTTTTCAAAATATCGCCAATTTGGTCGATAAACTTTTTTCTAGGGCGTCCCTTTCCGACTCGGCCGTTCACATCTGCCATATAAATTTGCTTTGTCACCTCCTTTCCTCATTCATTTTTTCTACATGACCAAACCACCGAAGCATTCCTTTCTTAATCCTGGTTACAACATCATCTTGCATACCACATTTATCTCTTATCATGCAATTTCTCACCCTGTCATTCAGATTCAACCCTAACATACTCCTTAATGACCGCATTTCTACTGCGTTCACTCCACATTCCACTCTCGTGCTTCTTCTGCTACACGCCACTCGTCTTCAAACGTGTCGGATATTTTATGTGGCCAAAGACCTCAGAACTTCGACGCATGTCTTCGTCCGCCAAGGTCCCGCAAGAATACCACTCGAGGCACCCTACTCAGGTCCCTTTAAAGTCTTGAGACGTGACTCCAAAACATACGACGTAGAAATCCAGGGCAGGACACAAATGATCTCAATAGACCGCCTGAAGCCAGCGTATGTTGCCAGAGAGACCGCAGAGACCATTCCACAAAACCTAAGTGACTATGGTCAAACTACCACCAAAACGACCAGAAGCGGTCGCACAGTAAGGTTTCCGGATTACTATCGCCCGTAGTTACGGTCTCGACGGGGGAGTAGTGTGGCGAGTAAATTAGTAGCCAGAACGGACCTAAAGATCACGCCACCACTACGTCATACATCGGACGATATCCTACGCCGTCGCTAAACAACGCCCGCTCAATAGTGCGCATGCGTTCCCATTGGTCGTAGCGCCAGCAGAGTTCGATGGCCGCCTGTGTACCTATGGTTCTCATCGATGGCGGCATGGGCGGAGTTCAATGGCTGCTTGCGCATGTATTGTGTTCGCTGTGAATACGACCAATCAGTGTGTAGTTTAAGATAAACAACATATTGCGATTTTAATTATTATTAATTATTTTCACCTATATAAGCAATGTTTCCAATGCAATGATATACTATTTTGTACTCTTGTCTAACTTGTACTTGCGTGTTAATAAATATAGTTATTAGTGGTCTGCAGTAATTTATTTGCTAATTATAACGACATATGATCCTACTCCTACGCACTTACACTCCTTTAAGACCGCATTTGTACAGCATTTATTCTACTTTCGTGCTTCTTCTGCCACACCTAAATTTCACCACCATGCATTAAAGTAGGGATTAACACAGCATTATGAATTACCATACGTGCCTTTTTTGACACATTCTGATTCTTCATAATAGAGTGTAGTGTCCCATTTACTCTATTCCCTGCATTTACTCGTCATCATAACATACATTATCTTCTCTATTGAAATAAGATGTTATTTAATTTCAATAGCCTCGTAAATCATCCTCGGCATGGAATCGGTATTACTTTAATGGATATGCTTGGACAGGAACATAACGAATGCGAGCGCTGTGCAACAAGTGCAGCAGGACGAACCTGCTCTGCAGCGGGCGCCAACTGCTCGAGGAACGAGGCGAGCGCGAGGCGCTGCGGCTGCGTCAGGTCGCGTTCGGGCTGCTCCAGGATGTGCTTGGGCACGCGCGCACCGCACAGGAACTGCGCCAACTCGTCGCTGAAGTGGTTGCAGTTGTGTTGCAACAGCTGGTACGACGACGGCCTGCAGCAAGTTTCATTTCGATTTAAATACGTATTAAATTTGCTTCCATAATGGAAGGCGATTCAGGAGAGGGTGGAGCGCCGCCATTTTGAGGTCGTTTCGTTACGTACACATATTCAAATACAACACAAGGCCGTTGTCACGACACAGCCACATCCCGATTAATTGAAGTGAAAACTTCTTTACAACCATTGTGATTTGAAAGTACGGTTAGCAACCGCAGTTTTTTTAAAATTGTTAATAACAAAACGTTGCTACTTCCTATCTGCTAGTTTGTTTCTCTCCTCCGCTCCTTACAACATAGCGTGACGGACACCTTACACTGGCAGTACACGATACAGCAACAAGTCACATTTAAGTTTATCTTAAAGTATCTCAGAGACAAGTGTTAGCTTTTCTTCAATTAAACCGCAATAATCAACTTAATTAACTGTTTAATCACTGTATTCGTTGCTTATTTGCACAATTATTGCTATATATGACAATCTTTAACACACATATTTTACTTCAATAAGCTATATTTTAACTAAACTCACAATCTTCGAAATAATCTTATTAACAATCATTGAGCTATTATGTACTACGTACTAGAGGCGACGCTGCATTCAGCTACTACGTTCCACTCAACTGCGGTGCATACACCGCACTTTAATCAGTCACTCGCTAGGCGCTTGTGGAGTTGTCACGTGTTGTGTTGATTTAAAAAAAAAATCTCTTGATAAAAATATGCCGTCGTATGTACTTAGATACTGCAAAATAATTCAAGAAATGTCAGTAAAAACCAAGGAATTACTTTTCATTGGTTAATAAGATAATTAATCAATAAAAAGTATTATAGATTAATAATAAAACAAATTATTTCTAAGACGCCATCTCGTGTCATGGAATATAGATAATAAAATTAATATGTTCAGATGCGACACTTCTGTGGGTACTTAAGTATAGGACGAATATAATATTATTATACATGAAACATATATAAGTTATTATAATTAGGCTAAATTTTTAATGTTTAAATCTGCTTATTATTCTTTTATTTTATTTTTAGGTTTCCAAATTAAAGTCAAGTGTGGAATAAATTCGTCTATTTTTAACTTTCGCGTACCCAGCATTTATGAACGACTCTTATTCATAAATGCTGGGTACGCGAAAGTTAAAAATAGACGAACATATAGAGAGCAGGGGGGTGATGTGGCGCGACGACAGCGCCGCCACATCACCCCCTGCTCAGACCGGAGGTCGATAGTGCAGTCGAGTTGTCGACGAATGTGCAAGTGCCAGGAGATTGCCTTGTAGTCTGCGGTGAGTCGAGAAGAAGGCAAGTAATCTGCGAGAGTGCCGTGAAGCAGAGGCGAGCAGTAAGGCTCAGAGCCGTGCCGAACACTGTATGGCGCAGAGAGTAGCTTGAAGGAAGCATTATTATTCCAGTGCTGCGATGAACCTTGTGAAGCTAGATGGCTTGCAGGATATGAAGACTGCAGACGATATCTGCTCGGGAGCGAATGGGTGGGGTATTCTATGACGATGATGAAGCTTGAAGTTTCCGAAGGTTGTTTGGTTGTGTGTTCAAATCACGTCGGGGTCACCACTGTGGCCGTGGTAGGAAAAGGGGAGATCTCCCGCCGGGCAAGGTGTTCTGCCCGGGGAGCGGCCGACACTCCGTGTGATAGTTCGGAGATGTTCTATATATACTGTTTATGATTCGGAATGTTGATAGCGTGATTTAGGCTTCGGTGTATTTCGCTTGTGGCGCGACGACAGCGCCGCCACACTATTATATTAATAAGTTTTGATAAACATATATTTAGTATGTTTTTATATATGACATAGATACCTTTTAAAATATTCTGATAAAAATATCATTAAAATGTAACTGTGATATAATATTATGTAATATTATATTAAATAAGCAAATATAATATACAAAATAAATGACAAAATTTAAATATTGTTCTCGATATAATTTAACTATTTAACAATACAATCTACTATTATCTACGGATCGTTCTACCTATGTTTATTCTATGATAAAAAAAACCAACCGCGCGAACACAGAGTAGCGCACATTTTTTGCTTTAGATAGCTGTTCTAGTACGTAAGTACACATATTACTTCTATGTTCACAATAGACTTTGCTATTTTTTATAGAAGAGGGGGCAAACGAGCATGCAGCTCACCTGATGGTAAGTGACTACCGCCGCCCATGAACAACCGCAACACCTGGTGAATTGCAGATGCGTCGCCGGCCTTTTAGAAAGGAGTAAGCTCTTTTCTTGAAGGTCCCTAATTCGTATTGGTCCGCTAAAATCACCGATAGTAAACAATTCCACAAAGAAGTTGTACGAGGAAGGAAACTCCTAGTAAAACGCACAGTGGCGGACCGCCAAGCATCCAGACTGTGAGTATGGTATCGTGAATTTTGACACAATGGGAGGGACTCCATCAGGGTCACTCGACTTACTCACGTCCAGGGAGAGGAGTTTGCAAACCAAGCGCTGTGTAAACCGCACTCAAACCGCGGGATGGTCGGCGGTGGGTTCGAGTCGAGAGTCGAGTTGGACGCAAAGAGAGAGCCTAACAGATCGACTTTCTCCTTTGTGGCATGGGCCAATGAGTCGTCCTCTCTGTACAGAGATGGAAGAGATGGCTGACAGAAGTTCTCTTGGAAAGCCTTGGCAAGAGACCAGAATGCACGGGTTCCAGTAGGAAGGCGAACTAGCTTCTCAACAATTCTGCCGATGTGCTCAGACCTTGCTTTGGCAATGACTCTTTTGAAAGACAGCGGAATTATACTTCTTTTTAAGAGCGCTGGTGTTTACATCCCAAAACGTTGATGCGTCAGCCCATGCCCGGTAGCACTCCTGCTTATAGCGCGATGCTATTTTACAAGAGCGAATAAATCATGGTTGACATCTGCCGTCGATGGGCGCCACACAGGATGGCATAAAAAGTTATATACCTTTAAGTACCACATCAGCGACAGAATCAGCAACAACGCTGGGTTCTTCCGGCGAGAAGCAAACCCGCCCCCAAGGGTAGGATACAAAAAAAGACCACATCCTATTCCAAACGGCCGACCTATAGACCTAACACGGCGGCAGCCTACAGAGTGTAACCGCGACGTTAGTGTGAGTGGTGCCACTCAGACTAACGTCGCGGTTACACTCCGGACAAGACGAAGGTACGACGAACCTAGAGGGGCGTCAACGGAAATCTGATATCCGTCCGGATCAGAGGTCAGCAGAAGGACCAACAGGGAAGATGCATCTCTTTGCGTCTAACTCGACTCTCGATGACGGAGGGAGCACACCGCCGACCATCCTGCGGATGGGATCTGCTGTAGCATGGAATTTGTAGCCATTTGGACGTGGTCGATGAGTCGGACTGTTTCGGTATTAGCGCTATGGGACCTATAGTGGAATCCATAGACGCGGGGATGATCGTCGCTGTAAACGCGCAGCCATAGGATGAACACTGAACAAGTCTGTACCTTGAGACTGTCGAGGCGACGAAAACAAATGTCCTCTGACGTATACGCAAAGTCCAGCTCGGGGCAAAAAGAGTGTTCTAATTTGTATTTTGGGTAGGATAGATATGAAGTACCAGCCGGAAAGGACACCTGAGTCTCGCGTCTGGCTTCACCATCTCCAGATGATAGTGGACATTGTTAAGGATGGAATGAAGTCCCCTGATGTTGCAAAAATTCAGGGATAGCGTGACAGGGGTCGCCTTGGTGTTATTGCTCCACTTGCACCGATCAATTTTAGTCACGAGCGGAATTTCGCCCTTCAGAGAATACGCGGAGCAACATGAGCATCCACGCTCAAGAAGAGTAGGATAGCTTGATCGTGGATGCTCATCGAGGGATTCGCCGTCACCAGGAGGGTGGTACCCTCTTGGGGTAGGGTAGTTTTTTATTTGATACCGCTACCATGTTAAGGGGGGGAGGGATTGGGCCTCCAGCTACCTGCACTTACCAAGCGAAACGCAGAAGTAAACCTTTATTTCACGCTGGTATACTGTGAGGTTGTGGTGCCACTATGGTTCGAGCTGGCCCATCCGTGCGACAGCAAAAGCGCTGCAAACTTGACGGTCGATGCCATATACGATCCAGTATAAGGCATCCATTACTTGTTATTTTAGTGCATAGTTCAAATGTTCTATAAACCCTTCACGATTGACGTAATTTTATAATTATATAGGTTAACGTTTGTACCTATAGTTATGTATGCATGTACGTTGTTGTGTAAGTACGCAGCTGCGTCCGCGCCCAATAATATTGCTTGCAATTAAAGCAGTACGTTGACAGTCGTCAAGTGCTTCACTAGTCTCCTGCGCTCCGTATCGCGAACCTAACATACGTATAGTACCAAATGTGTGGTAATATTTTTATATATAGAATAAGGGGGATAAATGAGCAAACAGTCCACCTGATGGTGTGGATTATGTGACCCATAGACATCTGTTTTCAATTAAGAATCAAAATGCAGATGCGTTGTCACCCCTGAGAACTAAGATGGAATAGGTACCTCGTTTCCTTTAAAAAGAGACCCCTGCTCTCTACACTCACCATACGAAACACACCAGCATTAAACTGCTACTTTATGCTGGTATTTTGGTGTTATGTGAGGTGTTCCTTCCACGGTCGAACCAACCCAGTCGTGTTACTATCTACTATAATATAACTGTAGCGTGACTCTACCACGTAAGAATAACAGTAAATACACTAAATCTCCACTGTTACTGGTAACAATAACATACTTGTGAACAGCGCACTCACATGTAGGTGGAGGTGGAAAGCGCCTGCAGATAGTCAACGAACACTGGGTAGGGCACGAAGGTGGTTCCGAGCCGCTCCACCTTGTGCGGCGGACCCAGGATCGTGCTGCCCTGTAACATACATAGATACTTACAATTTTCACGTTCCGGTTTTGAAGAGGAGGAGTTAGATGAAGAATTATCTATGGGCTTCTTCAGTTAAAGATAGTTGCAGATGTAGATATAGTTGCCACCAGAGGCGGCGTAAGGCGTGGGCGACGTGGGCCACCGCCTACGGCCTCGCGATCCAGGGAGCCTCGCGCCCTGGAGGTTTACGCATTACATACATAAAACCGAACCGAACGTAAACGCGCCGAAAAAATTTCATTGTCATGAATAGATATTAATGACATAACTAAGTATGTTTTTATTCAGTCTAGCAACATTAGTTTGCGTTGCTGTTGGACGGGGAATTCCCGCTGCGGGGCGACCAGTATATATACGGTAATCTATGGGGGGCGACAAAGGCTGAGGATTCCCCGTTCTGTTTGTTAGACATAACATACTGACATACGAATTATTTAATCGTGGGCGCGTGACAATCGAGTAAAGAGTGCGGCACAGCAGCCCACGTGGTTGCTGTACGTATATTTTTGCGCTGTACGCACATGAGTAGATAAACGGAACAGACATCAAGCTTCTAAAGAACTTGCAAAATTGTTACCTATTTTGGTAGGGTTATCACTATAGGTGAAAACAAATTAAAGCTCTAGAACGTTTACGTACATTTTGTGATTGGATTAAAGAATATCGACAGAACTTGTTTCGGAAAATGCTTGTCTGGTATTTAACAGTATATTGAAAAAAAAAAAACTGTTATGATCTGCCAAAAGAATTTAAAAATAAAAGTCGGTATTAAATAAATTTTTTCAACACCATGCTTGTTTAATTATAACAAATATAGATTTGAGATTTATGGCTAAACTTTTGGTTCTATGGTTAAACCCACATTATGAAAATTTTGGTTTCCTTTACGATTTAAACGAGTTAAAAAATATTCCAAACCATCTAATATTAAAATAATTATCAAGATTTACACACAGCCCTGCGAGTGGGTGAAAGCAGTGACTTTCAACCTTACAAATTATGTGAAGAATTACAATTAATCTAATTAATGATTTCTAATTTACCTAACTTCGTAACAGATAATTATGAAACCGCTTCTCCAATAATTTAGAGAAAATAATTTAAAAGAATATACCCAAATAATTACATCGTCATTTAACAATACCGATCAGTACAGCCTCCGCTGAAGGAACTTCTTAAAATTAGTACTCATTAAAAATTATCTCAGGAATGCAATGTCATAGAAAAGACTTTCAGCTTTGAACGTTTTATCTATCGAGGCAAAAAGAAAGAACTCGACGAACCGACAACCAATGGGGAAAAAAGGTTCTCGAGTGGCAGCCTCGTATTGGTAGACGAAGACATGCAGAAAGTCGATGGGTGCACGTGGATCAGGACCGCGCTATGTGGCATTCCTTGGGGGAGGCCTATGTTCAGCAGTGGACTTGTGAAGAGCTGTAATCATAATGATGATGATGATGGAGTGAGTTCACGGTTTGGCCGCTATAACGACTAAAAATAGGACAATAGAAATTAGTATGGTAACTGAAGGACTTATTTTCCAAAAAAACATGTAGGCAGTGGTATTCAAAAAAAATTTAAAAAACTTTTGAAAACAAAATAAATCATTTACATGTCAAGTCCGTACAAAATTGATCATAGTTCACTATCCATCGATTAGTTCCCCGCAATTTAACGCTAAGATATACCTACATATGACTATAACCAAACTTCCCGTAAACCACCACTGCCCTAAACTACACTCAAGATAGCACGCGTAAATCAAGAGTACACAAAGAAACTGTATGAGGCTGTATGAATACTTTGAATAAAGCCTACAATAACTACCAACAAAAAACTAAGCAAAAGTACCAGTAATATATAATAGCAACCAACCCCAAAAAGGAAAAAGTAAAGCTATAGTAGCATAATATAGTAGTGTTTTTTTTTCAAATGTTTACTTTATACAGTTTATAATAACATTACAAAATTATAATGCAGCTAGTTTCAGGTCATTTTATATGGTATTGTAAGGAAATTTTTACTAATCCAAGTGCGTTTTATAAGCGAGTCGACTGTTACTAGTTAACATTTATGCCTACTTAGCTGTGATACTTTTCCTTTTAACTTCATTATATATAATATTTTTGTACATACCTTCCACATTTCTAAAAAGAGCAATTTAGTTGGTTAAGGTTAAGGTTAATTTAGGGGGTTAGGAGGGGACACATGCATCTATTCTATAAAAACCATAAGTCGTGAAATATAAAATATTTTTTATTCCCTTGTTATCCTATAAATCCATCTACACTTCCCTCCTTTTTTAAACCGACTTCAAAAAAGTAGGAGGAGATTTTTTACGAACTCTCTATCTGTTCGTAAAGTTTCATCACAGTCGGTTCAGCCGATGCAAATGTTAGCTCGCACAGACAAGTTGTTTTAAAAATTATTGTTTATAGCTTATGAGCATGCAATCAATATTACAAACAGCACTTCGTTTTTATTAATATCTATGTAAATAAATGTATGTTACGTCATAACTTTGTCAATTGTGAACAGGTTTATATTTCGGGGTGGTCCCATATAAATTTGAACAAAATATTTCACCACTTAAGGTGGAATTATAGGGGTAAAGTTTTCAAATGTTACAATTTGAATGACATTCAAGCTGGTGATATTCATTGGTCCACTCGAAATGATCAAAAAATTAGACTTAATAAGAAGAAAAAGCAAACTTCAAAAAACCAAAAAGACTAAAATATTAGGTCCTTACATATGAAATTGGCATTTTGTACGAGAGGAATAAAAACTTTTTTTTTTGTAAAATATATAAATTTAATTAATCAAAGTATGCACCGTTGTTATCAATTCACGTTTGCCATTTCATAAGTAGTTCCTTGATCCCTTTACTAAAAAAACCATAGGGGCGAGAATCAATAAACTCTTTGAAGGCGGTTTGGATTGCCGCATCGGAATTGAATTTTTTTCCTTGTAAGAAGTTGTCCTAATTCCGGAAAAAATGGTAATCTGTTGGAGCAAGGTCCACGGAGTACGGTGGATGTCACAGACATTCCAATTGTATCATGCTCATCTAACTTAGTGGTTGTTTGTTATGCAGTGTGTGGTCTTGCGTTGTCATGAAGTAGCAGTGGCCTAAAGCGATTGACCAATCTCGATTGTTTAGCAGCTAGTTCTTCTTTCATGGATTGCAGTTGCTGACAATAGATATCTGCCGTAATCGTTTGGCCAGATTTCAGAAAGCTGTAGTGAACGACTCCGGCGCTAGTCCACCAAACACTCACAAGTAACATTTTCTGAGTCAATTTTCGTTTAGGGCAGGATTTGGCTGGGTCTCCAGGGTTCAGCCATTGCGACGAACGCTTCCGATTATCTTTTTTTTTTTTTATAGGATAGGGTGACAAACGAGCGCATAGTCCATCTATCCTCGATTACGAATCAAAATGCAGATGCATTGTCACCCGTGAGGACTAAGATGGAATGCCTCGTTTGCAGTAAAAAGGGTCTCCGGTTCTCTACACTCACCATATGAAATACAGCAGCATCAAGCTACTATTTCACGCTGGTATTCTGTGAGAGCGTGGTCCCTCCCCGGTCGAGCCGACCCATTCGTACTACAACTATACTACTAATATAACTGCAGCATGGCTCTACCACGTAATATATCGTACAGTATTCACTTTTCATCACAAGTAATGATTCCATTTAAAATCCCTTAATTTTTGTGTCGGTTGAGCAAAGTAACACAGCAGTCGACGTGTGTTTGCAAGTTCAATTCAATCAATTCATGAGGTACCCATCGTTTAAGTTTTTTTTACTTCAAATGGATTAATACAGTTTTATTATTTACCCCGAAGCCTGCAGCTATCTCTGACGTGCTTTGTGATGGATCCGCTTCCACAATAGCCTTTAATTCTTCATTTTCCACTTTGGTCTCCGGCCGTCCACGGGGTTGGTTCTGAAGGTCGAAATTTCCAGAACGAAAACGTTGAAACCAAAAACGTATCGTGCTTTCTTTTGCGACACCAGCGCCGTACACATCGATAATCCTTTGAGCTGTTTCTGCAGCACTGGTGCCACGGTAGAACTCGTATTCGTAAATATACCGATACTTTATATTTCCATTGTGCGGTAATAAGCGATACCAAAGAAAAAATAATGAGGAAAAAACAAATGAATGACTGTTGTCAAAACTCAAATGTACCAACTAAATGAATTTATAAACTCGAATTTGGAATTCTTAACCAAAGAGGAGGTATTTCAGATCAAAGTGGTGGACAGAGGTGGTGGAGAGAGAGAGAGGTGGAAAGAGGTGGACAAAACGCTAATTTCATATGTAAGGACCTAATAGTTTGCACATAATGTCGGCCTCTGATCGGTCGGCGCTTCTGTACATCTGTACACAGTATTGTCTAGCGGTTGCAGTAGCGCGACTGCTGATCATGAGGTCCCGGGTTCGAATCTCGGGTCGGGCCAAAAAATATCAGTTATTAAGTTTTTCTATTAAGAAATTCTTAGTAGATGCCCGGAATCAGGAAGTTGGTGGTGTCTCACCCCCGTGCTTCAGAAAGCACGTGAAGCCGTTGGTCCTGCGCCTGATCTCTCTCCGGTTGTTTCTGTTTACCATATATATAATACTGTATACAATACCGTATAATATTTTTTTTGGTTCTTTCAAGTAGGCATTTACTTATAATGCAAGTCTGATTTTTGGCAGAGTGAGTCTCTTCCGTGATACGATTTCTACATTTACAGACCAAAACAGAAAATTGAATACATGCAATCAAACACGTATCTCCCCCACCTTTTATGTGAATGGATACTTATATAGTATTATCATTTTACGACAAAACTCAGAACGTACCGCCTATTTCATTTAAAAGTACGGAAACTTCAGAGATACAAATGTCGCGGCGCAGGGAGCAGGTAACTCTGTGCCATAAATACAAACCCACTCTAATATCTCAACAGTTAATAAAAACGCGCAT